CACAGTCAAGGGCATGTACTTTAGTTTCAGGCTCAATCCCCAGCCCTGGTTGAGTGTGTGCGAAGGCTACCAATCTATGCGTCTCTCTCACATCAATGTTTCTCTCTCTCTCCCTTCCATTCTCTCTAAAAATCAATGGAAAAATATTCTCAGGTGAGGATTAACAACAACAACAAAAAAGAGGCTGCCCTGGCCTGTGTGGCTCAGTTTGTTGGAGCATCATCCTATGCACCGAAGGGTCACATAGGGTTCTGTTCCTGGCCAGGGCACATACCCAGGTTGCAGGTTCGATTCTTGGTCAGGGTGTGTGCAGGAGGCAGCCCATCGATTTCACATAGATGTTTCTCACATAGATGTTTCTCTCCTTTTCCCTTCTCTCTCTAAAATTAATAATAAAAAATAATAGAATTGAAAAAATAAACAATATGCACATGTTGTCACATATTAATAAGTGGTATTGTGAAAAAATAAAGTCAGAAAAGGAGGTAGGGAATGCTGAGTGGGCCAGAGGTGTATGTTCTAGATTCAGGGAAAGCCTCATTTTCATGCTTCTTTATCTGCCTTTTCTGTTTTCTAAACTTAAAAAAAAAGTTTATACTTACAAAAAGGTGGAAAAATTATATACTCTGACACCTATGATCAGTTGCCATGTGATACCAAGTACCCTACTTACACAAACAGACTTGAAGGAATGCATGCTACCTGATGAGAGTTTTTTGTATGGTATGTAAAGGTGGATTAACTTGCATTAATTAATAGCTGCCCTGTTTAGATGCCTACTAGGTGCCAAGCATGGTGTCAACATATTACCTCTAATTTTCATGACAGCTTGGGAGCGGACAGATATACTAATAGTTTCTGGGGATTGAGATTTGTATCCAGCTCCACGACTCTGAAGCCTTGGCATTTAATTTTCTTATTTTCAGCTGAGTGGTCCTGCTCTAACACATTCCCTCAAGTTAACATTGCATAATTCTATTTCTGCACCTTTTATTCAGCTTAGAATAGCCTTTTTCATGCTCCTTTATCTGCTTGATTTCTGTTTATTCTTCACGATTCCACTCAAATTTTACTTTTAGACCACCCCAGCTCCCAGTAAGTGATTTGTCTTCAGAATTCTTTATTATATGAACGTGGAACTTGCTGAGTACCCTCTACCCCATAGGATTCAGTAGGAATAAAATACAGTAAGTGTAAGAGTTGTGAAAGTTATAAACAAATATAATTAGCTATTTCTTTTATGGGATCTTTATATTAATGTCAGAGGCTCTGTACTGATGGAACAAAAAGTCAGATTATGTGAGAGGACCTGACAGCCATATGACAGGCCTCTGACCAGAAATTACGTGACCTCAGCATGTATCTCTAGGAAACGCTTATTTTCACTTTCTGAATAGTCTCCTTGCCTCTCTAAAGCACAGCTTTCACCAGGGCCAGCACACTCTTTTATAGTAAATATTTACACTTCAAAAGTAATACTTAATATTGTCATTGTGAACTCATTGTCTAGTATAAATCTTTTAAAGTTTAAATCTTTTCTTCTTGGGATTGATTTCAAAAGCTGAAATCATAGAGAGACAGCAGAGTTTCTTGATTTTGACAAGTGATAATAATGTAGGAAAACACAGCATTTTTCCTATAAGGGAGATAGGGACTAGAGTATCAAGTGAAGCCACATCTTTAAGTCACCACAGTAAAAACAGCTTTGGATGAAAGCTATATATTACATGTTTTCTTTTTTTTAATGAGGAATCAGATGAAGGGAGAAATCATTAGATTGATTGCCTACAAAAAAAGTAAAACTCTAGCCCAGTCGGTGTGGCCCAATGGTTGAGCACCAACCCATGAACCAAGAGGTTCCTAATTCGACTGCTGGTCTGGGCACATGCCCAGATTGCAGGCTTGATCCCCAGTGGGGAGCAGGCAGGAGGCAGCCAATCCATGATATCTCTCTCTTGATGTTTCTACCCCTCTCCCTTCCTCTTTCTGTCTCTCTCTAAAAAAATCAATGTAAACATTTTTTAAAAAAGTAAAACTAGGTTTTGTTTCATAGAGCATATTCACATATAAGCTAAATATTAGACCCTGGTGCTTGTACACTTTATCAGGGTAGGTGGCAACACTCAGTGGGTGATTATCAGAAAGTAAATATCACCAAGGGTGGGTATATTAAATTGTGTTCTGTATGAGTCAGGTCTGTGGTTGCATTGCTTCGTTTCCTCATTAATAACCTGGGTGTGAATTGAAAGTATGTTCATTACATTTACAGAGGACAAGTTTATGGTATTGGAAGATATGAATAGTATTCAATGTGCTCATGATAAACTAGAGAGATTACATTTTTAAAGGGTAAAGTTTAGAAGGAAAAATCTATAAAATAATACGCTTAATATAGAACGAAAATTTAACAAATATAAGGAAAGGCTGGAGAGACCAAAGAGATACAGATATTGGTACTAAATAGATACAGATACTAAACAGATATAGATACTGAGGACCATAAAAGGAGAATAAACTAAAGCACAAAACCTCTCTCTTTCATCAACCCAGACTGGATATTGTGTTCATGAATAATTTTTTCCTGGGGTTTTGGG